GGGATGAAAATGACAGCGTGATGTATGAAGGGTTTTCATGAATGTCGCTCAAAGGAGCACACCACACTACATCTAAATATGCACGGTAAAAAATTGTGACAATGAAGGCGTGATAGGAGGATATTGGAAATGTGAATAGCCCAGGGCAGAAGGGGAGATACCACAACTATTTAGCTCACGTTTGGTCAAAGGGTCGGCTTCACTTTTCGCTTTGACGAGTTGTTGAATGTTGGTACGAATGACGATGCTGACTACGATGCCGGCTAAACTTCTGGGAATGTACCACGTCCATGGTCCTACCTGGAAATGATCATGCATACAATAGACTCCGGACTAGATGCGTTACTCTAAATCTTTTTACCAATATGACTAAGTTGCGAAAACACGGTCAGGCAACATCTAATAAACCATTTTGTCGGGCACCACTGATTTATAGATATAATGATGCTACTTTAAATTTTCACCTACACCCTGATACTTTCTACTCAACCCTTAGTCTCTAGAAGTCTATCTTTTGGCGTTGGTTGTTGAAGACGCTATACAAGTTCACACCTAAGCTTTATTCAATATCTTAAGCTTCCCTTGACGTGACACAGAAGAGCCTACTACTGCTTTTACAGCCTCCATTGAAGCTGCTTTTTCTCTTCCTATAATGTATTTTATAGAAACCTACAGATGAAGGCGGAAGAGCCTATGTTGAATTTATGCGCGTCAACCTGGAGCAGATGCGGCAAAAGATTTCGGATGAACTCTACGTCCTTTCGAGCATGGAGGTAGGTGATATTTGCACTTATTTCTTTTGGATTTTACAGCTGAATATCAAAAAAGTTTGTTAGCATAATTTAACTGAGGTAATCACTTAAAGCCACAGCCAGCTTGATTTTATAAAATACTAAGTGTTTGATAAATATGAAATTTGCAAACAGTTTTTCTTTCAATCAAAAACCAATGATACTCTTATCTTTGTAGCTATTTATTCAATTTCTCATCTAGATTGCTTTACATTTAAAGATCATTCTTTATTCATTTCACTCAAGAACTACTAACCTTGTCATTCGTTTTATTCTGCAGACCTGGTACATGTCCCAGACTCGAATGATCAACGAATGGCTGATTGAAAGAAAAGGAAATGCTCTAAGTCCATACCAATTTAGCTGTCTGTCAACCATAATGAAAGTAAGTTAATTAGTATGAAAATGAATCAAGTCTCTTAGTCTTATATCTACTCCAGTCTTTCCTTATGCAACTATTTTCAGAGCTTGCAATGTATGATTTCAAACCAAACATGCTCTTAGTGCCAGCAAACTGATGAGTAATGCATTATTTTTTTCTTCTATGTGGATAAGCGAATAGAATGCATGACAAATTACAGTGCTAAGAAAAAATCGACAACTGTTTTTTAGTGGATGCTTGTGTACTTCACTGTTTTAGCCCTTCTATAGCATTCCTACTTTTTTTACTGTATCCTAAGGATGCTAGCCCAAAAACTCCTACCAAATATGATGGTGAAACAGCACCCATAAACATTTATCCTCCTCAAATGGTTTCCATCACACTCATTCAGCCATCATCACACGAAATGGGGCAGTACTAAAAGTGTGACTCCAAAAAATTCTTCTTTATACAGACTATCCTTCTATCCGCCTTATGAAAAGTGTTTGCCTGTTGCCTGGCGTAATCGTGTATCGTACCAGACACACATTGGTTAATAAAATCAAATACAGCCACGTTTGCGATAAAAAATTAGGGGGTCACAATTTGTGATACTTCCAGAGAATAAACCCGCTTCAAGAACTTTTTCATTCTGTATCGCTTAATGTCATTTAGAGACTGATAGTGGAGATCTTCCTTCATGATGCCATTATATTTTTATAAGATTTGCTTACCAAAGGGTTTTTTTCATTGTCATCAGCTCCCTAAGTGGGATTCAAACACGAGTCATGCGTATCGGGGTGGCACAAAACACTGCTATGCAGTCAAGGATGTCATTATGTCATAGGACAAGCTATTCCTAAATCACAGTTATAGTAGTGTTATCAAACTGGCAACCATGTATTTGCTATGACAATCAACGTGAGTACTTATATTTGGTGTTGGTATGTTACGTGGGACATAATCATGTCATTGTTGAAAAATTGCGCTATCAGTCTTTAAATCACTTTAAGCGGCACATTCAAAATTAATGATAGCCTCAAAATATACTCGTAATGCATATTCGACTGTTTCATTTTCATCGAAATATGTAGACCAAGATGATGTGGCCTTTCGTATGGTCGCGGTCTCTTTTCTTTGTATATTAGTTGTTTAAC